AAAGGACTATAAAATACCGTGGTTCTCTGGAACATCTGATGTTAGAAGAAAATAGTCCAACAAAAACTGTTTTACAAAAACACTTTATAAAAAATGAACTTCCCAACATTCACCAAAACAAACTGTGCATTGTGCAAATAAAATATCTTCAATAATTATCCATAGTGCAAAAAACTAACCACCTCAATTCCCACTGCTGGCCAGAACTGATGTTGCTTGAGCGCTTTGGGACACTCCATCGTAGTTGGGCCTAAACTGAGCAGTGAGAGACAGAGAATCATTGAGATTTATAACACAATCATAGTAACAAGTAATAAAAAACAAAAACTAAAAAGAAAAATTGCCAAAACTTGCTACTAACAGCAAAAATGTTAGTGTAAAAAAAAACATACATATTTAACTACAACTTAATAAAAACACGGGCGTACTAAGAACTTTGACTCGACACCAACACAAGGCCAACTGTAAACCATCACTCACATACGTGAGGGTAATCTCATCACTAGGTAAGTCTTTCTTTTCAACCCAAAGTTGTGTGTCTTCCAAGGTACGCTTAATATCTCCTCTTCACCTGTTGTGTCGCTTCCCTCCATTTTTTCTGTTTACTAACTAACTGCGTCTGTGGCGCCGCGCAAAAAGATAGTGATGGTGCGTTCAAGGCGCCTCGAAAACACGGGTGCAGAGGAGATAAACTATGTAATAATCGATGTAACCATGGGTTTTACCGATGCAGACACGCAAAGAAAGATACATTGCGCATTTAGCCGGCAGTTGTATCCGATGCACACTGAAGCTACCGGTGCACTCGCATCGCAAACGTCTGTCTCGGACCACCGATTCAAATCGGTCAATCTCTCCATCCCTAGTATGCATGTCGAATTAACCGTTTACATGCATGCATGTACACTTGATGCCTAAAGTTCACTGCAAGTCTCTTGATTGACATGGGAGCCGGAACGGAAAGGGAGCGTTTTTTTTGTTCCGTGTCATAGCATGTAGCTTATCCTACCAAGAGTCGAGTTACAAACAAAATATGCACCGATTATTTGTATTTGTTCATTTTAATCAATTTCCAAGTGTTTCCATGACTGGGAAACTAGTCTCTTAATTTCTTGCTTTTCCCGGACGTTTGGGAACCCTGTTTTTATTTCACAATAAAATATGAACTAATATGAAGCACGCTTTAATTACTAGGTAGCTCAAAGTTCATATGCAGTGTGTTGGATAAAATTGCATTATCCCCTCCATTAGATTTCATGAAACTCTAGTGGGGGATTGCGTCTGGTTCTAATTTAAAAACTGAATGGCTCCATGCTGCTCTGGTCTGATCAACCCGGGATGCCTTGCTCATGAGCACCTCAATTAGTATTACTTAGTCTACAGGTTCAAACTGGCAACCCTCTGATTAAAACAATCACAAGGCACATACTCACATATGTTACCACATACCCATACACTCTCGAATGCCGAAACACACACACATGCACACACATACTTACACTGTGTGTTGTTCACATCCAGAGAGAAGTGCTCCATTCATAATTAACAAATTCCTCCCTCACGCCTCCTGTTCTACCCGGCAACCATTCATTAAAGGAGAGCCACCCTCCCCCAAACACGCACACACACACTCTCTCTCTCTCTATCTATCTCTCTCTCTCTCTCTCTCTCACACACACACTTCAAGTAGCTATATCAGATATAGGACTGAAACAGTATATTGAACTGTGCGTTGACAGAGTGATCTAATCCCAGAATCAATAAATGGATTGTGAAAGTGATGTGGGGAGAGAGCGAAGCAAAGTCACAGATGAAGAGAGAGTGCGTGATATTTTCTATTGAAAGAAAAGGAAGATTGGGAAAGAAATGAGAGAGGAAGAGATGGAGGAGAGATGAGGGAGCATGAGTACGAGAGGGGTTGCCTTGCACATTTTAATGAGCTCACTGCTGGCGAGAGAACCATGGGACTGGAGTTACAGCCAAGTGTGTGTGTGTGTGTGTGTGTGTTTGATCTCTACATTTATGATGGTCCTCTTCCTGTTTGTCTGTTATTACCATGCCTCTCAGACTCCATAGGAGATCAACAACTAGATGAGGGCGGCACAGAACACACACTACTCTCATCTGGAATACAGCTACTGTGTGTGTGTGTGTGTGTGTTTAAGTCAGTGTAAATTTGCTTCCAATGCAAATCAACATGTTTCAGCATTTTATTTGAACTAAAAGAGGCCCAGCAGTGGCCTGAACCACGCTTAGTCTGGCTTGTTGTTTCTTGCAAAAAACAAGTACTCCTGGGACTGAACTAGTGCAGTCCCAAGGAAAAATTACAACTACCACCTCTATCTGCCCATTCATCAGCTGCCATCATCAAGTATCACAAGTATGTACTGTTGATCCCATGTTAGGAAATTATTTTGTTGCTGCAGCAAGTTCTCAGAACAACAAATAACAAATATCTATAGAATACACAGTATGCAGAATATCCTAAAATACAATATAAAATATAAATATAAACTATGAAATAGAAATATAGGATAGAATACCTTACTAGAATACAAGACAGTGGATTAAAGTTTACAGGAGAGGAGGTAAAAGAACAGAAACTA